AAAGAAAAAAAGCCAGAAGTGGCGCTGTGGCTCAAGTAGTAGAATGCTAGCCTTGAGCTGAAGAGCTGAGGGACAGCGCCCAGGCCCAGAGTTCAAACCCCACGACCGACAAAAAAAGAAAAAAGAAAGAAAGAAAGAAGGGAGGGAGGGAGGGAGGGAAAGAGAGAAAGAAGGAAGGAAGGAAGGGAGGGAAAGAAAGAAGGAAGGGAGGGAGGGATGGAAGGAAGGAAAGAAAGAAAGAAAGAAAAATATATGTGCTTTCCAGAAAGCATTGCAGGCTTAACATCATTTTCTGAGGGATGCTCATTGTTATGTGTACAATTCAGTGTAATTATATCCACCATTTTATGCAACAATCATCACTATCCACTTCCAAAACTTTTATATCACCCCAAACAGAAACCTGTAACCCTTAAGCAATAATTTTCCATTCTCCCTTACCCACTAGACCATGAAAATCTTTAATTAATGTCTGAATTTTTCTATGCTAGATATTTCATATAGTAGAATCATGCATTATTTTTTATGGGACATTATTTCACAGGACAAAAATTTCAAGGTTCACCTATGGTCTAGCATTTATTACACTTGGCTGAAAACCTCAACCTATTCACATGTGTAGATGGATATTTGAATTGTTTCCGCCTTTGGCTCTTATGAACACCAGCACACAAATCTCGAGTGTGCTTTCAATTACTTTGCATACATCTTAGAATGAAATTGTTGGGGCATATGCAAACTCTAGAGTTTTGACACTGCCAAACTATTCCACAGCAACTACTATCAGGAGGCAGAGACTTGGAGAACTGCAATTCAAGGGTAGCTGAAAAGAAATATCTACAACACTTCATCTCCAATTAACTAGCTAGATTGCACAGGCCTACATACACAACTCCCCTCCCCCACGCCATCCCATTGCTGAGCATCGTGGTGCAATTCCTAAATTTCTAGTCACTCAAAAAGCGAAGGCAGAATTGTGATCCATAGCTAACCCAGGCAAACAAAAAAAAAACTCAACCTGACAAACAAAAGCAAAAACTAAAAGGAAAAGGATGGAAGGCAAGGCTCAAGTGGTACAGCATGTACCCAGCAAGTGCAGAGACTGTAAGTAAAGGTGAGCAGAGGGATAGGGTTAGGTTTAGAAGAAAGCTACTTTTGTTTTCTGATTAAAAGAAAAAAAGAAATGTGAGGAGTATGATCAAGGTACTTTGTATGCATATATGCAAAAATGAAACCCCTATGCAACTAATTAATGCTAATTTTTAAAAGTGAAGAAAAAAAAAGGAAAAGAAAAGGCAGACTCAGCTGGTATGAGCCTTTTGCCTTTCCTCTTTCTCTCTGCATATAGCACTTTGCCAACCTAAGGCTGTGAAAGGATTTGAAATACTTGCTAAATGTGACAAGGAAGGAGATAAAGAGCACTAGTCCTGTGAGAAAACAAGCCTTTGGGTTTGCTAAAGCAAAAGTTATATGGGAATCTCAAAGTTATAAAAAGTTTGGGCTGGGAAGGTGGCTCAGTGGTAGAGAGCTTGCCTTGCATGTACGAGGCCCTGGGTTCGATTCCTCAGCACCACATAAGAAAAAAGAAAAAAGCCGGAAGTGGTGCTGTGGCTCAAGTGGTAGAGCGCTAGCCTTGAGCTGAAGAGCTGAGGGACAGCGCCCAGG